GGATGGGAGGGGACAGTCGAGGGACATGTGGAGTGAGCACCTGGGATGGGAAAGGCTCTTCGGCCTTCGTGGATGTTCCCTTGTGGATTCGTGCTCGGCAGGCTGCCTTTATGCGGCTCCCCTTCTTATCCCCTCCCCTCCCCCGTCCTCCTCTCCCCTCCTCTTTCCTTCCCTTTCCTTCCTCCCCTCCCCTTCCTTCCTCTTCCCTTCCCTTCCCCCTTTCTTTCTTTCCTCTCCTCCCCTTCCCCCTTCTCTCCTCTTTCCTTCCCTTCCTCCTTTCTTCTTTTCTTTTCTTTTTTTTTAGGATCTCTCTCTGTTGCCCAGGCTGGAGTGCAGTGGCATGATCATAGCTCATTGTAGCCTCAAATGTCTATGCTTAAGCAACCCTCCTGCCTCAGTCTCCCAACTAGCTGGGACTACAGGGGGCACACCACGCTGTCCAGGCTGGCTTCGGACTCCTCTTTCAGCTTCCCAAAGTTTTACAGGTGTGTACCGACAGACTCAGCCAGGATTCAGCTTTCTTGAGCCTGTTAACATTTGTCCTTCTACCCTCCATTCTCTTAAATCTTGTTGGAATCATCAACCTTTTTGCTGTCTTTGAAATTGTAGGTTTATGCCTTAAAAAGGCTCTTTACTCTTGATTTAGTGAGGTGTCTGGCTAGGCCTTGTCTTAGGGAGCGTGTTAGCCAGAACACTGTTGGTACATTTAGTTGTTTTTAACAGCCCGATGGGTATTTTTCTTTAGCCTTTATGGAACAGGAATAAAAGTGCATTTTGTTATGTGTGTGTTTCTTGCAGGTTCAAACTGCTCTGAGGTCCTGCAACTCTGCACCTGTCACACAGGCAATTCTTAAATAACATTGTTTCTGGCAGGTGGTGGGACTTGCTGACTTTTTTCCGGGTCTGGTTTATTTTCTCTGGCCGTAGCAAGCTTGTGTCATGTCTCTAATTTTTGAGAAGGAGTTAAATGAGTAAGAATAGGAAAGCATCCAGTTTAGAATGGAAGCACCGCCAGTGCCGGCTGCACCCACAGCCTTTTGCAGGGGCATGGAGCACTTCAGAACATAGTTTCTTGCTGTGTAAAGCCTGTGGTTGGACCGGAGGCATCTAAGGTTTCACTGTTAAGTCCTGCGATTCCATTGTCATCCTCTCTTGTTTGTGGCACAACAGTATAAGCTTCTTGTAGAAAAGAACCACTCTCACTTGTGGGGGCCCAGAAGGACTTTCTTCCACTGGTCATCTGGACTCTTGTCCCCCCTTCAGCCCACAGTTCAAGTCCACTCCCTTCATGAACACTTCTCAGCTGTGGCAGTACATGCCAGCTAGCTTTTTCTAGCCTCCTTCCTTACTTTTAGTTTGTAGTTGAATATAGAGAAAGGACGTAGGCCTTGAGTCCTGTTGGTGCCAGGCTTGAATTTCAGCTGTCACTTACTGTGTGACCTTGGACAGGTTTCCTCCTCTGTTCAAAAGGAACTTGTAATAAAACTGTCTGATGGGGTTTATGTGAAGATTACGTGAGATATGTATCAAAAACCCTTCCTTTAATGTGTTACACAAAATAAGACCCATAACACAAAAAGATGCTCATAAGCGGAACCATTGGCGTTTACCCATGTTACCTCGTTTACTACAAAGTGGGTATGTTTAATATTTTCATTTCCTAAAAGAAGAGACTGAGCCATAAAGACGTAATCTGCCCAAGGTTGTTGCAGATCAAAGACATTTAGCCTTTACATTTTCATTAGGTGTTTCACGTTTACATTTATTTATGAATATTCATTGAGAACTGATTCTATGTCAAGTTGAAGTGCTGGGAATACAGCAGTGAAAAAAAATGAATTTTCTGCCCTCATAAGCTTATATTCTTGTGTGAGAGCCAGTCGAGGAATGGGCAGACGTGTGTGTCTCAGGCAGAGGAAAGCGTGAAGGAAGTGGGCTGAGGGTAAGGGCAGAGAGTGGTGGGGAGGGAGAGCTGCTCAGGAGGGTACATTTCATGGACACCTCAAAGGATCACTGGAGCAATCTTGGTGGATACCTCGGGAAGCACATTCCAGGCATTGGAAACAGCAAGTGCAATTGTGTTCGAATAGCAGGATCCGGCTCTGGTTGGGTCCTTGGGCCATCATGAGAACTTCGGCTTGTTTCCTCAACTTGTTGTTTTTTTCTTTGAGTTAAAAGATGGCATCTTTGGCTCGGTGCCTATAGCTCAACCGGCTAAGGCGCCAGCCACGTACACCTAAGGTGGCGGGTTCGAATCCCCAGCCCGGACCCGCCAAACAACAATGACGGCTGCAACCAAAAAATAGCCGGGCGTTGTGGCGGGCGCCTGTAGTCCCAGCTACTTGGGAGGCGGAGGCAGGAGACTCGCTTGAGCCCAGGAGTTGGAGGTTGCTGTGAGCTGTAATGCCACAGCACTCTACCCAGGGGGACAGCTTGAGGCTCTGTCTCAAAAAAAAAAAAAAAAAAAAAAAAAAGATGGCATCTTTTTTTCTTTTGCATCCTGTATAATATTGGATAAAGAAAGGGATGGATACTTTGTCAGGTGATCAGTACTCATTTTTTGGTTAATTCTTCTACCTTCCAGTTTTCTTATGCCTCCTAGCATGGGGTTTGTGTGCAGTCACACTCTCAGGTGGCTCTCAGCCCCCTACCCACATTCTCCAGGGATGTGGGCCTGGGGCCGTGACCCTCCTCTGGAATGCTGGCTGCCCTGCAGCCTCATCCTCGTCCTTCAACCAGCTGCATGCCCTCCCTCCTTGGGACCTTTGCGAATATGGCTCCCCTCTACTCCTTCAGGTCCAGAGTCAAGTTCTGCTGCAGAGAAGTCTTCCTTGACCCCTCGCCTGGGTCAGAACCCCTTGTTCTGAGCGCTCACGGGGCTGCTGCAGCTGCTTTTCTTCATAGCAGCATTTATCTCCGTTTATAATTGCGTACTCAGCTATATGATCCTCACTGGGGCATAAACTCCATGAGGACAGAGGCCCTGACTGTTACTTCTCAGCCCTTTCCCTCCCCTGTGTTTTTGACCTCCAGCACAGGGATAGGCAAGTTTTGACGGTAAAGGACCAGATTGTAAGTATTTTAGACTTCGAAGACCATATGGTCTCTGTTGCGACTACTCAGCTCTGCCCTCGCCGCACCAGAGGGGCTGTAGACAATACCTGAATGACTAAGTGTGGCTGTGCTCCAGCAAAATTTATATATGGACATTTAAATTTGAATTTCATGTAATTTCCACATCATGAAATACTCTGCTTTTGATTTATTTTTCAACCTTATAAAATGTAAAAACCATTCTTAGCTTGCAAGATCATACAAAAATAGGCAGTGAGTGGGTTGGGCTCCGACCACAGACTATTTGCTAACCCTTTGTGTGGGGCAATGCAGGGCTTCTAGCATGTTTTAAATAAATATTGTTGAATGGGGAATGACATCTTAGGCAAGAGGCAGTGAGCTTCTGCCTTCTCTTAATCAACTCCATAACCTCTATCCTTTGCCCAGTTCCCTATAATCTGTTAGCATGACGATGGCCAGTGGGTTTGCTTTCTGGAGATGTAATTTACATACCATAAAGTCTGTCCATTTGAGGTGTATGATTCAGTGGTTTTTCACACAGTCTCGGTGTGTAACAGTTATCACTGTCAATTTTAGAACGTTCTCATCACCCCACAGAAGAAGCCCCATTAGCAGTCATTCCCATCCCCCCTCCAATTTTTCTCCCAGCCCTAGATGACCATTAATGTACTTTTTGTTTCAGTGGATTTACTTATTCTGGACATTTCATATAAATGGCATTATACAATATGTAATCTTTTGTGACTGGCTTATTTCACTTAGCACAATGTTTTCAGGGTTCACCCAGGTTGTATCATGGATCAGAATTTCGTTCCTTCTTCAGGCTCGATAATATTCCATTAAATACGGATAGGCATTTTAGTTATCCTTACCCATTCGTCAGACATTTGCACTATTACCATGCATATGCAAAATACATTACTAAACTTAGGCATAATGCTGCTGTGAACTTTCACGTACAGTGTTTTTGTGGGGACTTGTGTTTCTCATTTCTCTCGGGCACATACCTAGGAGTGGAGCTGCTGGTTGCCTTAGCTTGGGCTGCGATAGCAAAGTACCACACACTGAGAGGCCTAGAAGCCACCAAATTTCTGTTGCTTAACAGAAATTTATTTCCCACAGTTCTGGAGGCTGGAAGTCCAAGATCAAGGGGCCGGCACGGTCCGGTTCTGACGAGGGCTGTCTTCTGGGTTGTGGACTTCTTGTTGTACAGTGGAAAGAGGGTGAGAGAGCTCTCTGGACGTCCCTTTTAAACGGAACCAATCTCATCCAGGAAGGCAGTACCCTCATGACCATCTTCTAAGATCATCACCTTGGGGGTAAGAATTTTGGGGGAATGTAAACACTGTGTCCATAACACTGGACATAACATGTGGTAACTGTGTGTTGCACCTTAAAGGAACTGCCAGACTGTTTTCCCAAGTGGCTGCACCATTTTACATTCCCACCAGCAGTGTAGGAGCATTCTAGTTTCTCCACATCCTTGCAGGATGTCATTTACTTAATAGTGCTTTTTACTGTCTGTCTTTTCAGTTGACCAACTAGTTCTTAAATTCAAGAGGGTGGACTGAACTTGAATATTTAGATAAAAGTTTACAGACATCTATAAATCTACAAATACATGTTTATTAGAAAATTTTTGGAAAATAGAACTTAGTGCCTGTTAGTGATATCCTTGCTGCATTTGGTCACAGCTTGCCAGCTCTCTCTCTTTCCTTTCCTTTCCTTTTCTTTTTTTTGAGACAGTCTCACTCTGTCTCCCTGGGTAGAGCGCCATGATGTCATAGCTCACAGCAACCTCAAACTCTTGGGCTTGAGCAGTCCTCTTGCCTCAGCTTCCTAAGTAGCTGGGACTACAGGCATGTGCCACTATACCCAGCTAGTTTTTTCTGTTTTTCTAGTAGAGACGAGGTCTCGCTCTTGCTCTGGCTGGTCTCAAACTCCTGGGCTCAAGCAGTCCACCTGCCTTGGCCTCCCAGAGTAGTCTGCCAGCTCTTTAACAGGTCTGGGAAGACCAGGGCAGCCTCCCCTATAAACTGTACAATGAATGAGGACCCAAGTGCTGAGGGCTCAGGCTGGGTTCATGAACAAGCTTTGCTGTTGCCCATCAGCTTGACCTTGGCAGGCTGCTAATGCTCTCTTAGCTGTAGTTTCCTCATTGTTAAAAGGGATTTTGTGTGGGGGGGGAACCAAAAAAATGAGGGAGGCATAGCACCTGGGTTATGGTGAAGATTAAGCAAAGCAGTGCATATGAAGTGCTGAGGATGATGTGGGCACTTGGGAAACACTTAATAAGGGATGGTAAAAACCAGTAGACCCACAAAGACTGGAGGTCACCTAGCTCCTTAGGGCTTGTGATTGTTAAGATAATGACAGACTTTTGGAGGAGGTCCTCGTGGGCTATTCTCTCTACTCGTCCCCCACTCTGGGTTCAGTCAGGTGGCTAGACTTTGCTTGACCATTTCCCCTGAGGAGAGCTGTCCCTCTGGAGCCATCCTTTGGCCGGCCTCTGCCTCCAGGGCCTGGGAGAGCGAGCCTGCTCCCTCGTCCACATGACAACCTGGGAGTATTTGACAACAGCCATCCCTCTGCCTCTTCTCCAGTTCCATCAGCTGTTTCTCAGATCACTTCATTTCTAGACCCCACCACCCTGGTCGCCGCCTTTGGACACACTCCAGCTTGTTGTTTCCTGGACTGAGCCTCAGCTTAGAGGTGGATCTGAGGAGTGGAATGACATTCCTGCGGGAGATGCGTACGTACCGAGGGCTAGGAGCCTTCGAGGGTGACAGATCTTCACCTTTACCAGCACCACGGTTTTACGCAAGAGAGAGCTCAGCAGCGTCTTTAGAAATTATGGGAAAAATACAATTCCAGTGAAGGCCCATCTAGTTTCCCCTCTGGTTTTCCAGGCTCAATCTAGGAGGCTTGCACAGAACCCAGGCTTCCTGCTGGGTGTTGCAAGGGCGAATCATTCTGCTGGAAGGGTTTGAAATTGCAGGGTGTTGAGTTTCGCCCCCTGTCACTTCTGATCTGATACATTTTTTGGGCTCTATTTTATAAGCTGCAGCAGATTGTGACCAGCGACCCATTTATAAAAAGCACTACAGCAGGACAGAACAAGGGAAGGGAGGGGAATCAGCTGGATCATTTATCTGATTTTTGTGTTCTAAGGCCTGTTTCATCTGTTGGTGGGAGAGATTCCAGTGCATTTAGCAATCCCTCTGCTGTGGCTCTTGGGGTAGGAACCTTGTCATTTTGTAATCAGGAGCAGCCTGGAAACCCACTACAGGCACAGATCTGCCCCAAGGCAGGCAGCATGGAGGAGCACTCATTCTGGGTATTTCCCACTTCCTCAGGCTGATTTTTTCTGAAAGGCTGTGCCTAATTTCTCTCTAACTGTGTTCCAGGCTGATTTGCATAACTTTATTCTTTAGTGGTTAGTTACTCACTCAGAAATTCCCCTGTCTATCCATTCTGGGATTCTGAGTCTGTGGGAACAGAACATCCCAGTAGAATCCTGGCCTCTGTGTCCTACTGTCTCACCCGTGACTGCAGGCAGGAGGCAGAGCAAGGACCCAAGTGTTCTGAACAGGAGGAAGCACCTTGGTGGCAGCTGTTGCCACAGGTCCTGTGACTGTGGGTCTGAGAATTTGCCTGCCAGACTGTCACCTTGCAGCCTAGAGGTGGAGGAGGTATGTGTAGGGAGGTGACTAGCACCACTCTCAGGGTCCCATCCTGACTCTGCCACTCCTCCATGATGTGACTGTGGACAGATAATTTAAGACCCTCTTCTTGTCTGTGAAGTAAGGATAATAGGGGACCTGTTTTACAAGGTTATTAGAATGTTAGGTGATTTAATATGTGTAGTTAGAGCCCCGCCTGGCACTGTGTGTCTGGTAGTGGTAGGGATGAGATGATCATGTTTGCATTTTCCTATTGTATTCCCAGAGCCTTAGTTTTTTAAAAATTATTTATTTGATTTATTTTTTGAAACAGTGTCTATGTCGCTGTTGGTAGAGTGCCGTGGCATCGCAGCTCACAGCAACCTCAAACTCCTGGGCTTAAGCGATTCTCTTGCCTCAGCCTCCCAAGTAGCTGGGACTACAGGCGCTCGCCACAATGCCCGGCTATTTTTTTGTTGCGGTTGTTGTCATTGTTGTTTAGCAGGCCCGGGCTGGGTTGGATCCCACCTGCCTCGGTTGTATATGGCCAGCACTGTAACCACTGAGCTATGGGTGCTGAGCCAATTTTTTTCTTTTCTTTCTTTTTTTTTTTTTTAAAATGGAACAAGGGTACCTGTTCCATTTTGATATAACTTCTGTCTGGGCTCAGCCCCACCACAGTTTGCAGCCCTTGGCTGTCTTGGCACCCCTGCCTCTCTGCCTAGCAGGTCTCCACCGTGTGAGAATGGTCTTGTGCTGACTGTTGGGTAGCAGCAATCTAATTTCTCTGCCTTGGTTTCCTCATCTGTAACCCATGGAAGACATTTTCTCCTCCAGAGTTGTTCTTTCTGTCTCCTGTCCTTTCCAGGGATGTGACTAGGGTCAGGTGACATGTGTTAAGCCAGGCAGGCAGGCTACAAAGACAGGCAGAACTTTGGTGGACAGTGTGGGAAACTGTGGACACAGGACTGAGTTCATCCTATCTGCAGGAGTCCTGGGGCAGGGTTCAGAGTAGGATGAGGATGGAGCTTAGCATGCCTCTCAGGGTGCTATGAGCAGACCCAACCCCTTGGGCCATACCCCCACAGTGAGGGTGGATGGGATATTGTTTAGAAAGTCAGTCCACAAATGAATATTCTCTGAGCCTCTCAGGATACTTATAAAGTGGCCACAGGAGGCTTAAATGCCAGGAAGGTCTCCGTGATGGGAATGACCAGCACTTTCTGCTTTACCATGCCTGCCTCTCGGGTCTTCCACCAAGCGCCTATTTCATAGATGAGGAAAATGGACTCAGAGGGCTTCATTGGCTCTCCAAGATCATGCCATTTGGAAATGCCAGCGGAGGGATTTAAACTCAAGTCTGGGGAATTCCAAAGTCTGTGCCTTCTCCAGGTGGGAAATCCTGGTCCTGAGCCCCTCGAGGCCCGCTGGAACTCCCAGGTCTCTCCTCTGCCTGCAGCAGTGTTCTTGGCAAGTGCGCTGTCCTTCTCGTGATGTTTGTGCGTTTTCCTGCAGGAAAGTCTCTGTCTCCTCTCCCCACCCTCAGCCCTGCCATTTCCTCCCCAGAGGGGCACTTGGTCTGTGCCGTTCTCTCCTCCCTTTTCTCAGCTTAGCGCCTAAGATTTGGGGAGAAGGGTGAGTCATTAACAGGGGAGAGAAACTTGGGCTAAAAAGTGTGGTGACCTTGAGCCTTTGCTCGGAGGTGTGTTTTCCGGCCAAGTGAGGTGGCTTGGCAGACTGTCCTGACTGTGGCTTTGGGGGTGTCTCCAGGTGGAAAAGGAGGTGGAACTTGGTGACCGAGGAATGGGGTGAGTGCAGGGCGCCTGGGCCCTTGGGCATGTCACTCTTCCTTTCTAGGCCTCAGGGTAATAGGAGGAGTTTGTACCACATGATCCTTGAGGATCTTTCAGCTGAATAGTTCTAGAACTCAGATGCCTTTTTAGGAAATATGTCTCCCAGCTCATTCCCTGTCCCTTTCCCATGTTGCCTCTTTGAAGTGGAGGTTTACTTTTCAGCAGTGTTAATTGGGAAACGTTAATATATGCTTTGGAATGAGCAGGAGGAATTCCAAGGCCATAACTC